GGGGAGGAGGAGCAGGAGGAGGAGGAGGAGGAGGAGGAGGAGGAAAGAAAATTATTCTTGACTCCTAAGGAAATGTATTGGTTCTGAGTGATATAACAAAACATAATCTAAAACCACCTTAGCTATTGTCCCTGTATGGGCTTTTAATATTAATAACAGTGATTATTTATTTATAATGTACTTTGTCATTTACAGTTCACTTTCACATATACAAACCTATGTGGAAATTTACCCAGAATTATTGTTGTAGATTTTCTTTTATTAAGAACAGAGAAAATGGAAAACAGAGCCAGCAAGTTTTTGGAGTTGCTTTATTAATGGATCAAGAGATCACTGAAAAAGAAAGAAAAGAAGAAGGAGAAGAAAAAGTAAAATTTCCCATAAGACTAACTGTCAAAGATCCCAGTTAGTGGAGCAGACATGGCTCTTGGGTCAGTGGGAGCTGTCCAGCAGTGGTTGACAGTATTCTTGGAGGATGTCAAAGGTAACCCAAGGGTCTAACATAGATTTAGCAAAAGTGGTTCCTAATTTATTTTAATCATCATTACTGGACTTAACATTTGGTTCAATGGACAGTTCTGTCTAATTAAAAATGCTCCTTCTGTGGTTAAATTGTGTTTGTCACTCACAGTTTAAAGTCTAGCTATTTCTAGCTCCTAATTGGCATGCCACAAATGAACCATAACATTGAACTTGGGGTTCTCTGACCCTGGCATTCTCATTTGGCTTGAAATATACCTTCTCTGGAGCCAGAAATGTTCACCATAGACCCTGAATCTGCTTTTTCTCTCCTACAAGAGGAGAGGCAGTGCAGGGGAGATGGTTCTAATACTGAGGCTCTTGTGGATGGACATGTTCAGACCGTTGTCCATAGACAAGAGAGAGAACTACAATCAGTCAATCTCACTTGCCTCCAATATAGGAGCCCTATACAATATCCTGATATATGGCCATCCAGGTATTCTTTTTTATTGTGATAAATTATACATAACATAAAATGTATCATTAATACATAAAGTAGACCATATAAATGTACTTCAGTGACAGTAAGTACATTCACAATGGTGTGCAACCACCACCACTATCCATTTCCAGAATTTTTTTCATTGCCCCAAACAGAAACTCTGAACTCATTAAGTAATTCCCCATTTCCTCCTCCCTTCCGCCAGCCCCGGTAACCATGATTCTACTTATTCTATGAATTTACCTATTGTAGGCTCTTCATATATGTGGAATCATACAATATTTGTCTTTTTGTGTTGGGTTTATTTCACTTAGCACAATATTTTCAAGGTTTAATCCATGTTATAGCATGTATCAGAAATTTGCAACTGAGTAAAATTCCATAGTGTACGTATACCACATTCTGTTGATCTGTTTATCTCTTGGTGGACACTTGGGTTGTTTCCACCTTTTGGCTATTGTGAATAATGCTTCCATGAACATTGGTGTGTATGTATCTATTCATGTCCCTGCTTTCAATTCTTTGGAGTATATACTTAGGACTGGAAGTGCTGGGTCATACGGTCATTCTATATTTAGCCTTTTGAGAAACCACCGAACTGTTTTCCACAGCAGCTGCACCATTTTACATCACTACCAGCAATCCACAAAGGTTCCAGTCTCTCCACATTCTCACAACACTTGTAATTTTTCACTCTTGTTTTGTTTTTATTATAGCCACCCTAATGGGTGTGAAGTGGTAGCGCATGGACATCTAGTCATTCTTAAGCACTTCCTGAACTAGAGCTCAACACAGCAGCAGGAAGCTATTGCAGATCACCCTTTGTTGTTAGAAAGTTCTCATTAGCCATTTCTAAATCTCGCCTTCCTCCAGCAGGGATTGTCAACCTTGGTTGCACAACAGAATCCCTTAGGAACTTGGAAAAAGTCCAATACTTAGGCAGCAACCCAGACTGATTAAATCAGCCCTAACATTAATGTTCCCAAGGCTCCTCGGGTCATTTCAATATGTAGCCAAAGCTGAGAACTTACTCAATTCAAAGCCTGCTGCTCACTCATCTCACTTCCTTACACAACCTGCAGGGCATAAAGTGCAACAGACCTATCACTGAGCCTTCCCTGACGACCCCTATTAAAAGCACTGCGCTCTCTGGCTGGCCTGTCCTGCTGTCCCTTCTAGATGTTTTGCTATAGTGTGTATTGCCAGCTGACATTCTACATACATTCTTTTTACCTACCATTGCCAGCTCTCTGTTTTGCTCATTTCTGCTTCCCTAGGGCACACAACAATGCCTAGTGCAGAGAAGGTGCTGAGAAAGAATTGTTGAATGAGTGCATGTACAAATCTCTTATTTCAAATGACAGCCCTTCAGATGTTAAAAATAGCTTTTGTGTCTCCTACTGGGGCTTCTCTAGGGAAAATCTTCTCTGTACCTTCCATCCATTTTCAAAGACATTGAAGAATAAACCTCATCATTACGAATACAATATGCCTTTCTCTCACTCAATAAGCAAATAATTGAGCACTTCCTATGTACTACACACACCTATACACTACACACTGTAGAGTAGACTGTGCCTGGCACTGGAAATTGTGCTGGAACAGAGAAGTGAGGTGAATCTGTGGGGGTGGGGCACAGACAAGCATCAGTAGCAGAAGTCATTTCAGGTAACAGTAACTGCTATAAAGAAAAGGGAAAACGTTGGCTGTGTTGCATTAAGTGGGGGTTAACTTTAATCTGAGACCTGGAAGACAGGGAAGAAGCATCCCAGGAGGAAGGCACAGCTATTTCAGAGGCCTGGAGAGGCAACAAGTTTCAGAAGGGCTCTGAGTAGGAGCCTCTGAGAAGGACAAGGAAAAAAACCCCACTATCACCTCTTTTGTTAGACACTTGACCTCAGCTAACATGGCCTAAGGCATTGGTTCTCAACCTTCCTAATGCCGCGACCCTTTAATACAGTTCCTCATGTTGTGGTGACCCCCAATTTCATTGTTACAAATTGAACATAATTAAAGCATAGTGATTAATCACATAAACAATATGTAATTATATATGTGTTTTCCGATGGTCTTAGGTGACCCCTGTGAAAGGGTCATTCGACCCCCAAAGGGGTCGCGACCCACAGGTTGAGAACCGCTGGCCTAAGGTAAGATTAATTTTGGGTAGTCACATCACCCTGTTAAGGTCGCATTGAATTAAATCGTCCCTGTCCAGTATTTGTACTGTTGATAGCTGGAATTTAGCTGTAGAAGAGTGATTTAGATGAATTTACCTAGAATTGCTTTTCATCCGAACCCTAGGCATACAGTCGTCAATTCATCCATCCATCAGTCAGTCAGTCAATCAGTTAAGAAAAACACTTGTCAGTAGAGTGGAGGGATGCTCTGGTTCTTCAGCCACTGTGACAGTGCTGCCTTATCCTAATCCGCATCTTGCCTTTCGTGCCAGGCCAGTCTTGGACAACATCAGAGCCAGGACTTCGTGGGCTACTGCCATTTGGGGCCAGCAGCTATCTTGGTTTTCAGTCAGAGGAGCTCAGTAAAGACAGATATCTCTTGATTCTGGAGACTCTGTGGTTCCAGAGCGGGGCTCACAGGGCAAGCAGCCCCTTCCAGACCAGCCACTGAAATGCTCTGACAGCTTAGCTCCTCTCTCCAGGCCTCAGTGTCTTGTATTGATATGTGGGGTTTGGGTCTGAGAATTTTAAGGTCCTTTGAAACTTCATTTAAAAACCATTTTTATTGCCCTAACCGGTTTGGTTCAGTGGATGGAGCGTCAGCCTTCGGACTCAAGGGTCCCAGGTTCGATTCCGGTCAAGGGCATGTGCCTTGGTTGCGGGCACATCAGTGGGGTGG